CATGAAGTTTTCCTTACGGAATTTATGATAAGTCGTGAGTGTAACCCCAGTCCCTGGCATCCATCCCAGCCCCCTGTCCAGGGAGTTGCATTGGTCTGGACTCCAAATCCCAGCATGCCTCGGGGAAGGTCAGGACCACTCTGGAAGTGGGCTTCCAGAGGAGAAACACAAGGTTCCAGGTTTGCATGTGCTCCCCGCTTTTCTGTCTCCCCGCCATGCGCTCGGCCACTCAAGAGCGCCGTATTTAATAAAAAAAACGATGGGCATTTTAATTTGGTTTGACCTGACCTAATTGGACGCCCGTCTTAGGATTTTTCATAACAATTTAAACCATTCATAGGATCTTTTAACTCTGCCATGAGGCTCCTAATGACAAAAAATTCTAAGGGTCACCAGGGTCCTCGGGGAGCAGGTGGAAGACCATGGTGGGTAAGAGACAGACAGATACGTCATCCAAAGAGAGTTTGAGTATAGAGTTTATTTAATGAGTTATGGAGGAAAAGGTAAGTGGGGGAAGGGAAGAAAGGGGAAGAAGAGAGAGAAGCGGGGGATGAGGGGGAATGTGAGAAGCAGTTCAGAACCTGTTCAGAAGAGGGATGGAAAAAGAGCAGGCACAGACTGGAGGAAGTAGAAGATCTGTTTGCCTGGGTGTGAGGGAGGAGGGAGGGGCGGGGCTTGTCTCTTAAAGGAACAGTGTACCCAGGTGACAAACCAGGCCAGCAGGAATCAGGCTGACTCAAATTCCTTTAATCTTTTTTTTTTTTTTTTTTCGAGACAGGGTTTCTCTGTAGAATTCCTTTAATCTTAATGCTGATTAGCTGAAACAAAGTGGTTTTTACCTGTGCTCTGTAGGAATTCAGCAGAATCACTGTATGGGGCAGCTATTAGAACAACTGTCTTTTAGAAATACCTGGACCTTGAAGAATTTTTGAGAAAAACAATGATTGTTTTGCTGAGGGAGTCTTTCAGCCACCCTATGGCTTTGGTCACTGTAGGAGCCAGCCATAATAAGCTAAATATGAACAGATCACCCAAAGGAAGTTTTTTACTTCCAACCATTTTCACCTGTCCCAGTAGGTCTCAGCCATTGATAAGTTTAATGGAGGCCTGAGTCTCAGTAGTTTACCCTGAAGCAATACCTGGTTGCAGGAAGGACCATGAACTAAGATTACCTGAACACTGTTAATGCCCAAATCCGCAAAGTCTCCACAGAAGCCAACAAGGAGACAGAGTCCCTTTATTTTATGCAAGTTTGCAAACTCGGTCTCTCCACATGTTCAACGTATGGAATAAACGGAGAGCCCCGAGCTCAGGTAGATTTGGGTTTTTATATTAGTTAAGGGGGGGGGAACTGAGGGGTTTTTGAGGTTCAAGACCCCTGATTGGCTGACATTTGTCTAGGAGTGCCCTGGTGAGTGTGTGCTGGCAGGTGGTCCTGTCTACAGTGGTTGGAATGTTAGGCATTTCCTTTGGGTGGGGCTCAGTGAAATGGGCACAGCAGGTTCAGAGTTTCCACTCTTGCTGACTTTAGGCCTCAGAGGACAACCGAAAGAAACCTCTCAGATGGTGTTAGCCTATGCAGAACTAGCTAAGGGTGGTCTACTGCAAGGGAGAAGGAACAGGATTAAGACAGCAGATCAATACTTGAATCCAAAGGGAATGGATCGTTACTAAGATTACTGTAATTGCAACCCATTTCCACCATGAATAGCCAAGTTCCAAAGCTCTTCCCTCAAGGAAGGGTAGTGCCCAACACGGTTGGAATCCGATTCCGTAGACCCCACTAAGGAGAGTAGCAGAACTAGCAACAACATTCAACTGGATCAAATGATGTCCTCTAGTTCACAGATGACCACACCACTGGAAAACACTTCTGGCCCAAAGGTGTTATAACATAAGTAAATTAGCAAGTGATGTAGAGTTTTATCTTGGTTATAAACAGGCTGAACAAAAGGCCGGCCGGAGCCAAAGACAGTGATGCATAGCTTTTTAAGAAACAAGGAGCAAACAAGGAAAAGTTTTACGAACCTGCTCATTTGAGCAAGTATTTAAGGTCACTTATGTGCTGACCTGCCCAAGCACTTTCCTCAAGATATCTCCTCAAAAAAAAAAAAAAAAAATCTCCTCTCCAAGATTCAACCATTGCTACTATCACTGACTATATAAATCAGAGATCTGGAACATGAACAGGTAGAATAGGGATTTTTTTTTTCCTATGTTTGTGTGGAAGATACACTTAGATGACCTTCTAAGAATGGAGTTGCAGTTCAAAAGATCATTGGTCACTATGCATCTTGAGTCCTAAAGGACAGGCATGTGCATCCTAGCTCTGTGGAGCGTTGAACAAAGGTGACTCTCCTGGGTTTGTCCCTCTGGAGAAAAGCTGGCGGAGACTGTCGTTATCTTATGTAGCACAGCCTAGTGGAACCCAGTTTCCTGCTAAGCTGTGTAAAGGCAACAGTCGACCTTCCTGATCAGAGCAATCCAGTTAGCTGAAGGAGGGGCTGAGACTGACTGCAGCGAACACTTCTGGCCCAAGCCTCATGGCTCATTTCTTCAGAAAGCGCTGTGGGTTGCTCAGAATTTTAGATCCTTCCAGCAACCTAGTCCCAAGCGGAATAATCTGATGCTGTAGTTGAGTTCTGGTTAGACACTGAATTGATGATCTGCATTTGAGTATAGGCTAGGAACATCAGATGACAGGTGAAGATCCTCCTGACAGGTCAAAGATCAGCACAACAGAAAAATCAGTTTTTAGGGCCTTCTGGGGCTTATTCTCACCAAAAAGCTCCTCCTGCAAAGCAGAGAAGGAACCTGCAGGTTTCTCTCTTTCCCTCTCTCCCTCCCCTCCCCACCCACATGGTGCTGGGGATCAAGTTTAGGGCCTGCTATACACAGGCAAGCACTCTTTGACTGGGCAGCACGCCTCTCCCTGAGGCAGGTGGTTTTTTTTGTTTTTGTTTTTGTTTTTGTTTTTTTGACTTTTCAGCTGTTCAAGAAATCCTGACCTTGGGTGGGATTTCTGACCCTGTTCCACCTCTGTCATGAGCTCTCCTGCGCACAGGACCAGGAACTGGGTCAGCTGTTGTTGGGGAAATGGCATTGCTAAAAACCTTTTCACTCTTGTATTGAACAATTTGTGTAGAGATTAGCCCTGGTCCCTGCAAGGAAAGACGAATTAGGACATGCAGATACCTGTCTTCTGAAAGAGATACTCAAATAACTAGAAAGATACCACTGACACCTAAATAACAATACAGGACAGGATACAGGAGTAGCAAAAGTGATGGGTGTCAGGTGAGTCTGGGGACACCTCATTCGAGGAGCATTTGGAGTTTATGAACACCAAGGCTAATCAAAGCTGAGGTAGTTGCCTTTAATCCCAGCACTTGGAAGGCAGTAGCAGGTAAAGCTCTATGAGTTTGAAGCCAGCCAGGCCAGGTAGGGCTACATAGTGATTCCTTGTCTCAAAACAAAACAAAACACATACACATACACACACAATAACAACACTTCTCTTCCCTGCCCCCTCCCCCAAAAAAAGAAATGACGGAAGGAAGGAAGGAAGAAAGGAAAGAAGAAAGAAAGAAAGGAAGGAAGGAAGGAAGGAAGAAAGAAAGAAAGAAAAGCTTGTCAAGAGGCAGAAACAGAGGGAAACGAGGAGGTACAGTAGAGGGGCAAAGCCGACTGTGGCTTCACGCTAGTGTGAAGGGCAGAGTTTTAAAACTGGATCAGAATGAACTGGAGGCCTCCCGAGCAAACCTTTGGACAGCTGAGCTAAGGGCTGTGACTCTGGACAGTTATCTTGGAAAACATCTATGCAGTTGTAACCACCTTGGCAAGAAAAAGAGACGGTCTAAAGAGAGACGCTAGTGCCCTCTTCTTCAGTTATCTGACTATAAAATAATTAATCTCCAAAGAGCCAAATTTCCCTAGGAATTCCATGCTGGGGGAAGGAAAGGCTGAAGATGTAGTGCCAGGGTAGAAACCTGCCTCCCTCCCAGGAAGAGACTTCACACAGTCCTGAGGACTTCTTGGCCCTACTTTCAGGAGAGACTGGAGCTGAGACAATGATAGCTGGTGATGGGTAGGACCACATCTTGACCAGGGCTGGTTGTTATGGATACCTCTTGCCTTCTAGTTAACCTTAAGTCTCATGTTTCTAACATGAGTATGGACTTGGGGGGAGACCACTGGACCTCTCTTTTCTCCTTAATGTGGCCATGTTGGATAGATATCCTCTGCTTTTCATCATTATTTGTCTTTGGTTGCTCTTCCAGGGCACAGGAGACCCAGTCTTGCCTTTTGGAACTGCCAGAGCCCAGACTTTTATCATAAAACATTCAGTAACACAATGACAATATAGTCACCAATATAGGTGTCTGCTCAGGGATACTGCAGAGAAGAACTGTAAGCAGTTGATAAAGTACAGCTACAAAGTCAGTGTCATTCCCCTGTCCCACTAGGACGCCATTTCCACAAGGAAAAGTACTTTTCATCGTTTTTCAGGGTCCTCCTGAGACACCCCTTACCCATCCGGCCTCAGATTGGTGGCAAAGTACAGCTACTCCGTCTCTGTCAACCACCCACGCCTGCATCCTGCGACTTCCTCCACTACCCCTCTCTGCAAGCCTAGCAACTTGCACAGGATTCTTCTAGCTTGGGGAAGGGGGCTGCTTGGGTCTGGCTTCCCTACCTCCCTTCTTCATACACACGTCAATACACGGGGACGGGGTTTCTGGACAGCGGTCACAGCTCCAGGATCCGTCAAGTGGGAGAAAGAGGGGAAGAGTGGGGAGGGTGAGGAAGTGGGGGACTGGGAGGGAATGAAAGAAAGGGGCAAAAGAAGAGAGGAAAGGAGAGGGCAGAAAGGAAGGATTGTTTCTGTGTATTCTACCTAGTAACAGGTGACAGCTGGACACAGGAATACTATTGGTTGATGACTTATGGCCGACCAATCCCGGGCTCTAAACCACTCAATGGAAATTGTGAGACTTGCACGCGGAGTGGGTCCGCCGAGGTCTGTTGTGAGTCCCCGCTCTTTAAGACTAATGGAGAGCAGAGAATTCTTTCCTCTCTTGTATAGCAGTTTCTTCTCTGGTGACGACTGTGCCCACCGGCGGGCTGGGGAGAGGAGAAAAGGCACGACAATCGGTATCTGAGGGTCAGAGAAGAAAAAAAAAGCACAAAGGTTAATTCTAGCAGGTAGGGAAGGAGTGGGAGCGCTCCGAGGCCTGGCGGGGCTGTAGGAGCTTGGGGGTGGGGTTTCATGCTGTGAACGAAAAGCCTGGGGGAAGGGCGTTTCACATACTTAGCTTTACCTGTGGTTCACAAGGTGGTGAAGAGGACAAGGAAGGGGAGGGGAAGAAAGGGAAGGAGGCTGGAGAAGGAGAGGGGGAGGAAGGAGAAAGGGAAGGGAAGTGGTGGATAATTAGGAGAAAGAGCCCGCCAGCCCGAGGAGCAGGAAGAGGAGGAAAGGGGGATGGGGAGGAGTGGAGGAGGCAAGAAGGCCAAAGAAGAGAGAAAAAGGAGGAGGGAGAGGGAGGAATATCAAATGACCGCTGAAGAAACTGGACTCTGAAAAGACAACTGATCCTAAGAAAGCAGAAAGCTGCCTGCCTGCTGTTTATGTTGTTTGTTTAGTAGGATATTTAGTGGACCCACCCATCAAGCTAGGAAGGAGTCTGTCCATCTAAGGCAGAAGTTGGAATGCTTATGAGACCAGCGCAGGGACAAAAGGTACAACTGCCACGAGAACGGTGGGTGATTTCTCCTCTGTGCTTCTAGGTTTCATGTTCACACTTGATCTAGGTGACCCTGTCCCGAAGACCTATGGAGCCTGCTACTTCCCTGCAGTCTTGCCTGCTAGCCTCCCTTCTCTTCTTCCTGGTCCTCAGTCTGTTTGTGCTGGTCTCAGGTAAGGCCGAAGGCTTCTTGCTCCTGTCACCTTTTGAGAAAACAATGCCCACAGTTCTGACAGACAGAACTCGGAGGTCAGGAGCTGTGCTGGCTCACCCTTCTATTCTGAATGTATACCCTGGATTTTCCCAATCCGTAAAGAAATGCAGCAAGAGCCTCAAAGGAGACCTGTAAATACTGTAAAATTTCAAGTGCCAACATTCAAAAGAGTTAAAAACAGATGAAGTAGATTTTAATAATATTCTTTGTTTAACTCCAAATCATCATATACTAATATTTAAATGATTACCTTGCCAGGGGGTATGCACCTATAAATAAACTTGGGCAACTGAGATAAGACTTCCAAGAGTTCAAGGCCAGCCAGGGGTTCATAATAAGAAGCTGTCTCCTAAAACAAAACAAGGGGGCTGGGAATGTGGCTCAGTTGGTAGAATGCTTGCATAATATGCACAGTTGTGGTTTGAACCCTGGGTCTGTGCCACACGCACAAGAACAAGTCATTCTGAGCACTGGGTCTTCAGTGTGTGCTCAGGGTGACCTCAGTATTCTGTTCATGTGGGTTCAGGTTTGTTGGTTTTATTTTGCTTTTCTTCATGGTGGACTTGCTATATAGCTAAAGATGACTTTGAAGAGCTGATCCCCCAGCCTCCATCTCCTGAGTGTTGGGATCATGAGTGTGCATTACGCACAACTCAGTATTTTGTTACCCAAGTATTTGCAGCATCGTTTGGTTGTTCCAAGAGATGCTGCTCACCAGCCACAACTACCAGCCCATCTAGGAGGCCCCATGGCCTCAAAGAGAACTTGTCTAAGCCTTTCCAGTTGTCTAATCCTTTTAGTTCTCCGGGCCACTCTCGATGAAGACTTTCCAGGGCCACGTGATAAATGACCTGGAACTATCTGTTCTAGTTGGATTTCTGTTGCACCAACAGAAAGCAGTGTAGGAAAGAAAAGGAGTTTAATTGGGTACAAATGCAGACCACAGTTCTTCGCTGAGGGAAGTCACGAAAGGAATTGAAGGCAGGACTCCTTGCTATTCTGTGCATCACTGCCTCCAACCAAGGAACTTACTTCACTGCCAAAGAAGTGCAGGCTGGGCCATGGATGTTGCTGCTGACTGGCTGGCTTCAGGCTCTTATGCAGATCAGGATCACTTGCCTAGGGCATGGTGTGGGTGGGCCCCTCCTACATCAATTAACAATCGAAACAATGCCCCATAAAGATAACTACAGACCAATCTGACCTAAGCAATTTCTCAGCTGAGATTCTCTTCCGAGATGATAATTCGAGGTTGTGTCAAGTTGACAGTTAAAACTAACCAGGCTGGTGTCCAAAGCACAGCTTGAGCGTGACACAAAACCGTCACTACAGAGTTCACACTTGAGAGCCACAGAAACAAAACAGACAACGTCAAAGTAATTTTAAGTAAGTTCACCATTTTGTGTTGTGTTGAACTTATAGCTATCCAGGGCCTTAGCTTGAACACTCCTGAAACCCTAGAATACCACTGAAGTACGCTGGATATTTAATGGCTGGAATTCCTGTCTGATTGCCCTCCTTTGTTGAATAGCCCAATTTACTGTCGTGGGACCAGCTGAGCCCATCCTGGCCATGGTAGGAGAAAATACCACACTGCACTGCTGCCTGTCGCCAGAGAGAAATGCAGAAGACATGGAGGTGCGGTGGTTTCGGTGGCATTTCTCCCCTGCAGTGCTGGTGTACAAAGGCCATCAAGAGAGAACAGAGGAGCAGATGGCGGCATATCGAGGAAGAACCACCTTCGTGAGCGCGGACATCAGCAAGGGAAGAGTGGGGCTCGTGATCCACAATGTCACAGCCTATGACAATGGCATCTACGGCTGTTACTTCCAGCAAGGCAGGTCCTATGATCAGGCCATCATGAGGCTCCTGGTGGCAAGTGAGTCGCTCCACTTTCCTCTGTTGGCTTTTCCCACTGTGACCTTTGGGGGACACTGCTCTCTTGGATTCAGAATCATCACAGGCGAGCACATTTCTTGACTGATCTCTTTTATATGGGGAGAGTTGCTTCTTGTGTCCACCTGAGTGAGCTCTGCTAAGCTGTAACCGTTGCTCCTAGTGTGACAGAAGAAAATGTGCAAGGATACCTGAGATAAACAAACATTGCCCAAAAAAATCCCAATGGACATTTCACGGTTTAATATTCATCGTATAGCCCAGGCCAGGCTTCAACTCACTTTGTTGCTGATAATGATCTTGAACTTCTGATCTTCCTACCTCCCTACCAAGTGGTGAGATTGCAGCCTGTATCACCATCATCCTCATCCCCAGCTGATCTTGCCTTTCCCCCCATTTCTTCCAATAGCAACTGTGGAGAAAGCAACTGACATGTGATGAGAGCAGGTATTAAATACAGTAGTAAGATGACGTACTAGGACTGGCGACCCATAGAGGCATTGAGAGTCCTACCTGGAACAATTGTGCAGAGATTCAGGATGGAAGTGGCAATTAAACTAGGCATGCTGGGCAAGGAGCCATGGTTTTTTTTTAGTATCACACAATATTAAAGGAAGAAGGTTTCCTGACCTTTATATCCTGATTTTGTTCACAACAGAACTACAGGGTTAGTTGGTGGTACTTGTAGGTTCCAGGAACCCCTGTTCTTTCCCTGTAAGCATGCTTCACTGCCCTGCCCTGCTCTGATTAAGTCCTTATAGAATATTTAACTTGATTGTGTGTGTGTTGTGTATGTTTTGTATGTGTGCGCATGCATGTGTGTTTGTGGTAAATGCACATGTGTATATATGTGACTTCTTGCATGTGTGTGTGTTTGGTTTTTCGATAAAGGGTTTCTTTGTGTAACAGTCCTGGCTGTCCTGACTCTTGTAGCACTGACTCTTGTAGACCAGGCTGGCCTCAAACTCACAGAGATCTGCCTGCCTCTGCCTCCTGAGTGCTGGGATTAAAGACGCCACAACCACCCGGCTGTATGTGTGTGTGTATATGTGTGTGTGTGTGTGTGTGTGTGTGTGTGTATTCTTACTTGTCTTATGCTTGTAGTAGCCAAAGGTGTCTTTCTCAGTTACTTTCCAACTTATTTTCTGAGGCAGGGTCTCTCACTGAACTTTGAGCTCTCTGTTCTGCTAGACTGGCTGGCCAAGTAGCCCCCAGCATCTGCCTGTCTCCTCATTTCCTACCTCAGTACTGGGGCTACAGACATGTGTCCACCCAAACTTTTGTTTAGGTGATCCAAATTCAGGTTTTCACACTTTTGCAACAAGTGCTTTACCCAGTGAGCCATCTCCCCAGCACCCTTAATGTTTTTTTTTAATTTCCTATTTTGTTTTTTGGATTGATTGGGTAATTTCATCCTTAAGTCTATTGTCTCTGAACCCTGTGGACTATTTTATAGAACTGTTTTTCCCAGATTGTCACACTCCATGTGTGACACATGTGTATGTGTTGTTGTTGCTGCTGCTGGATTTGTTGTTTGTTTGTTTGATGTTTTGAGACGGGGACTCTCAAATATAGCCCTGGGTGGTCAAATCATTTTGAATCTTATTCCATAACAAGTTTTATGAGTGAGACTGGACGTCTTTAGCTACTTTGTTTCCTTGGCAAAATCAAATTGAAGATCCACACACAATGGCAAACACCTGCTTCCGCTCCAGTGCCTGGGACTTGGAGACGAGAAGATCAGGAGTTCTAGGTCATCCTCAACTCCATGTCTGATTCCAGGCTAGCTTGAGCGATATGGGAGTTTTGTCTCAAAACACACAAAAGAAATCAAGTTGAATACTCTATTGTGGTAGCATATGCATGTAATTCCAGCACCCAAAAGCTGAGATAGGATTATTTCTGTGAGTTTGAGGCCAGCCTGAACTACATAATGAGGTCTATCTCAAACAACAGCAGCAACAAATATCATCAAATAGAACACAAAGCACTGAATTTTACCGAGTGTTTGAATTTCCTTTCTTTGGTATAATTTACTGGGTGAGCTTGACAAAGAAACTATTCAATAAAAGTCTGTGGGGCATGCCTAAAAAGACAGACATGTCCCACTGGCACATAGCCAAAGCTTTGCTCTGCCTATGTTCTCTCCAGCTGAAGGTTTCCAGGACACTCTTCTGATGACATACACTGAGCACATGGCACTGTTTTGACTACTTCAGGTGCATTCCTATCTCCCTAATAGGTGAATTTGGGGGTGCACTTTAGAGATTATCTACCTGAGTGAGTCCCTAGGAGCTAAACACTTCTGAATGTCAGGTTGGCTTTGTGGGAACACTTTACCCATTCTTCAAAGGCAGCAGGCGGTGTGGTGAGCACACAGCGGCGGGCCATTGCCTTCCCTCTGCTTGGTCATGAGAGAGGGAGAGAGAAAGGACAATGTCTTAAAGTAAGAAAGTTTTATAAGCTTGTGGCATCCTGACAAATTCTTATTCTAAAATGTCCACAAGACCAAAGCAACTGAGGAATTTCCCACAGAGCACAAAGTGAAGTTCTAAGTTGGCCTTTTGAGGTTGGACAGAAGATACCTACTTAGAAGTCAGACGATTGGAGTCTCTGGCAGAATCAATGAAACAACAAGCCTTTAAGGAGACAGTATAGATATATGAGCCGTGATGAGCCCTGGAGCCAGAGCACAATTGTAAATGTGAAAATCCTTTGCTCTTAGCTTCCAACACATTTGGCACATTGGTCCCTTCTCTAACATCAATGCCTTTCTTTCTACTCATTTTTTCTTCCTTCCTGACTCATCATCCCTCTATCTTTTGGCTGCATATTCATTACCCTTAGGTTCAGCCAGTTTGAACTTCCCTTTCCTTGGTTTCTGTCATTAAGACCAGACCAGTTAAAATACACACATGAAATACTATTGCTTATTTTATGATGCTAAAGATCAAATGCGAGCCCCTGCTATGCCAGATACACACTCTCCTACTGAGCTACATCCCCACCCATACCTACATCCCTACCAGCCATTCTTTTTGTTTGTTTTTTTGAAACAAGGTCTCACTGTGTAGCCTGGACTATTCTGGAACTCACTATGTAGACCAGGCTGGCCTCCAACTCATAGAGATCTTCCTATTTCTGCCTTTCTAGTGCTGGAACTAAACCAGTCGTTCTTTTAGCTGAGCTGTGGTGTTTCCTTCTAGGCCTGGGCTCTAAGCCCCTCATTAACATGAAGACCCTTGAGGATGGGAGCGTCTTGCTGGAGTGCACATCTGAAGGGTGGTACCCGGAGCCCCACGCTGTGTGGAGAGACCCCTATTATGAAGTCATGCCTGCCCTGGAGGAAGAGTATATAGCTGACAGAGGAGGCCTCTTCACGGTCACCATGACTGTGATCATCAGAGACTGTTCTGTGAGGAACATGACCTGCTCTGTTAACAACACCCTGCTCAACCAGGAGATGGAGAGTGTGGTTTTCATTCCAGGTTAGTCTGCTCTCTGGAGCTCTATCGGGAAAAGGTAGGCTCCTCTGCGAATAGATTGATATCTGGAGTAGTGATGGGAGACTAGAGGATGGTCTGAGGAAGGATCTTTGGCTCTGCAGAGCTGGAGGCTGGAGCTGAACCGAGGCCACATGCCTTGACACAAGAAGAAAATCGCAAACGTGTGAATGGGTAGTGTCAACAGTGATAGAAGGGCGAGGAACAGTTGTCACGTTGCTTCATCCTGACCCCACACTTGGGAGGGCAGGGGAACAGATTGGCTCTCACTACTGAAACTTGACTACACTTGAACTTGTGATCCTCCTCCCTCTCCCTCCCTAGTATTGGGATTTCAGTATGGGCCACCACGCCCAGCACATTGGAGGCTTTTAATGAATAATAAACTGGATCTCTGTCCCTCAGTTGAGAAGAAACTGTATGCAGCAAGGGCAGAGCAAGGAGGAAGCCATTGCCAGGTCCTGGGCCAGAATGCTGGAGGCCTTTGGAAGGTGACAGCTGTAGAGATTTAGCAGACTGCTAACCATGGGATTCATCCATGGGATTCATCCATGGAAGTCCGGGGTGACCCTGCATTTTTTGTTTGTTGTTTTTTTTTTTCAAGATAAGATTTCTCTGTGTAGCTTTGGAGACTGTCCTGGGACTCACTACGTAGACCAGGCTGGCCTCGAACTCACAGAGATCTGCCTGCCGAGTGCTAGGATTTAAAGCATGTGCCATCACCGCCCAGTGACCCTGCATTTTTTTTCTCCTGCAAAGTCAGAAGTCAGCTAGTAAAAGCCATCATCTTCTCCCGTCCTCGGTTCTGAGGGAGAATCCCTGGGTCTGGGATCTGAGGGAGCTCTCCAGATAAACTTCCTCCAGGGAGCACACTTAGTCCTGATGTCCTGTCTCTCACCACACAGCACTTCTTTGGCTCACTTTCCAGAATCCTTCGAGCCCAGTCTTCCTCTCTGGATGGTAGCCATGGCTGTCACTCTGCCCGTTCTAATGTTGATCCTTCTCGCATCTGGAAGTATCTGCCTTGTCAAGAAGCAACACAGGAAAAAATTGATCTTGTCTGCTGAGAAAGAAGTTGAATATGAAGAAAAAGAAGCTGCACGTAAGGAACTAGGGAAAAGAGAAGTTAGAAGGTAAAAGAGTAGAGCAGTCGAGTTCACTATTCTTCAGTTCAAGGCCAGCCTTAGCTATGACGTGAGTTCAAAGCAAGCCTAGGCTACATAGAACCATGCCTCAAAAAAATGAGAAAAGGAGGAGGAAAAAGAAAAGAGAGGACAGCACCCTCTGACAGGTAGAAGCTTGCACTAGAAGGACCGTAGAGGCAGCAGAAGGGCTCAGAACTCTCATATCCTAATAACTAGGCTATTGGATCTTCCATTTCAATATGTAAGCATTGCATCATTCGCTTGGTTCCAAGCAGAACCATGCTACTGAACAAAAGCTAACAATAAAACAGCCCTAATATTGTCCACTCACCTGGTCTGTACCACTTCTGATTTCTGACAGTTCTCAGGTATGGGTGTTTTATTAGTTACCATTTTCATTGTTGTGATAAAGTTTTCTGACAGGGGTAGACAAGATGATTCAGCAGGTAAAGGGACTTGCTGCCAAGCCTGACATCCTAGAATAAAATACTCAGAACCCCCATAGTAGAAAGGAACCAGGTCTTACAAGCTGTCCTCTGACCTCTACACCTGCAACATGGCACGTGCACATGCACACACACATACACACAGAAAATGAAAAAAATTTTAATTTATGTAAATGAATATTTTGCCTATATATATTATGTGTACCAGATGGATGCCCGGTGCCCACAGAGGTAAGAAAAGGACATTGGATGGAGTTATTGATGTTTGTGAACCACTGTGTAGGTACTGGGAATGGAATCTATCTTCTGCAAAAGCAACCAAGGCTCTTAATCACTAAACCACCTCCTCAGATCCTAAACACTTTTGCTGTTTTTGTTCTATTTTGATTTCATTTGGTTTCCGAGACAGGGTGTTACTATATAGTTCTGGCTGTCCTAGAACTCACTATGTAAACCAGGCTGGCCTCAAACTCACAGAGATCCACCTGACTTTACCTCTGGAGTGCTGGGATTAAAGGATTGTGCCACTACACCCGGCTTCCTAAACTAACTCCTCTCTCTCTCTGTCTCTGTCTCTCTCTCTCTTTCTCTCTCTTACATTTATTGGAGGAGGATAGTGCACCTTTTCCTTCATGTAGAAATCATAGGACAATTTGTGAGAGTTGGTTCTTTCTTCATGGGTCTTAGGGATTAGACTCAGGCTTGGCAGTAAGTGCTCTCGCTCTCTGAGCCACCATGATCAAACTCATTAACCTAACTTAGAAAATCTCTCAAGACAAACCTAGGTTTGTTGCCATGGTGATTCTAAACCCCAAGGTCACAATGGAGATTTACCCTGTCAGGTGGGGAAGAAAGGTTTGGTGCTATAGGAAGAGCCAGCCCCATATCATTTAAGACAAATCCAAATTCTCTCAGCTGCCTACTGAAGACATTACCTTGTTTCTTTTTCAGGGCAACTTCAAGAAGAATTACGTAAGTTAAAGTTCCCTGAACTACTCCCTGCAGCGTGTTCTGCCGGCTTAGCCTCTTGACATTCACCTCTCTGTCACTTGCAGGATGGCGAAGAACCCTCTTACATGCCGGTGAGTGCCTCTGGCATCCCCTTATATCCGGAGACTTCTCCCCACTAAGGGAGGATATGAACAAAGGGCACAGGGCTCTGGAATGAGGAAGTAGGGGATTGAGGGCCTCCCTGGCTGTAGCCCACGAATGCTGGAGCCCAGCTCTGTCAGGGAAACAGTCCAGCTTCAGTCTGCCCTGCCGTTTGTTTTCCACAGTCCCTCTGTTTTCCAGAAGGGGTTCTGTGAGTGCTGCAGAGGTTCACATACAAAATAACTCTCCCACAGCTCTCGAAACCTGAATTAATTAGAAAGAAGACATTTCTGTCTTGAGTTTTTATTACCTGGGAGATAGTTAAAATGAGCAGATGGATCCCATTGTGGCAAAAAGACAATATGCTTCCTGGTCCTGATCAGGGACATAATTACTAGGTGTCCAGAAATGCTTCCCACTCCCAGGACACAACCAGTCAGTGAGTCAGGTGAGGGAGAGCCCAGAGCTTCGCCACCTTTACTTCCTGAGCATTATTTCTTTCTTCATGTGTCATCACCAAGCATCAAAGAATACAGGCTTCACCAGATACCTTGGCAGAAGGACTTTTGCTCCTTAAGAAGAAATTCAAATGCTGGGCGGTGGTGGCACATGCCTTTAATCCCAGCAATCGGGAGGCAGAGACAGGCTGATCTCTGTGAGTTCGAGGCCAGCCTGGTCTACAAGAGCTAGTTCCAGGCCAAGCTCCAAAGATACAGAGAAACCCTGTCTCGAAAAAAAAAAAAAAAAAAAAAAAAGGAGAGAAATTCAAAATTGTCACGACCTACTTGAGACAATCATACGTTGTTACAATCAGACATACCAACATGGGGAAGGAGGCTATCATTGGAACTTGACAGGCAAAGTAGACTGAGTAGGCAAGATGGTTGGCAATCGCTTCCTGTGCCCACAGCAGACACTACTATGAGCTTCAACCTAGCTGAAAATATTTCCCCTCTTAAGTTTGTTGCACACGCCTCTCAGCTTGGCTTTGGGGGACATTTGCTCTCCTTTCTTATTCTTTGGTGGATACCCTTATCAGACATTTAAATCAACTGTCATCTGGTTGAAAGGATGCAGAGACCAGTGAAGCAATCCTGGGCTAAGCCAGAGCCCTGTGTAGTGAGACTCACTTAAATTCCTTAACTGACCCATCGTTGGGGAGAGTGAGAAATTAAGCCTCTCTTGTTGGTCAAAGCCAAGTTGGATGGTTTCTACTAAGAGAATCCCAGAGATCTTATATTATGGTAGACACCGGGGCAGATCTGAGAATGCTGGAAGGGGAACCACTCACTTCAGCTCATTGGCTAAACTTTCTGGGTTTCTTGGAGCCCCGGTCGTCTCTACAGAAGACAGTACTTAGAAAAAGTACTTCTGTACCTAAGAGAAAAAGGAGCTTCAGTGTGAGCTTCCTTGGATCAGAAAAGCCTTCTCTGAAAAGGCCACCACACAGAGGAATTCCACATTAGCTCCCAGGACCTCAGTGGGGACCACAGGTTGTGCATATTCAGAAGTCTGAGATCTCAGCACTAAGCCTGAGTCTTCTTCCACAGCTGATGTGGTTCTGGATCCAGATACAGCTCATCCTGAGCTCTTCCTGTCAGATGACCAGAGAAGTGTAAGACGAGGCGCTTCGAGGCAGAGCGTGCCTGACAACCCTGAGAGATTTGACTGCCGGCCGTGTGTCCTGGGCCGGGAGAGCTTCTCCTCAGGGAAGCATTACTGGGAGGTGGAGGTGGAAAACGTTATGGTTTGGGCCATTGGCGTTTGTAGAGACAATGTTGAAAGGAAAGGGGAGGCCCTGTTGGTTCCTCAGAATGGCTTCTGGACCCTGGAGATGTTTGGAAACCAGTACAGAGCCCTGTCCTCCCCAGAAACTATCATACCTCTGAAAGAGCGTCTTCACCGAGTGGCCATCTTCCTGGACTGTGAAGCTGGGGATGTTTCTTTCTACAACATGAGAGACAGATCACACATCTACACATGTCCCCCTGTGGCCTTCGCTGGACCCCTAAGACCTTTCTTTAGGCTTGGTTCTGACGACAGTGCCCTCTTCATCTGCCCAGCATTCACAGGGGCACAAGGAGTCACAATACCTGAGGGTGGGCTGATCCTATATAGGACAAGACCAGTTTCTCAGAGCCATGGAAAAAAGCCATAGCCCTCACCTCCCACTGCACAGCACCATCAGGTGGAGAGCAAGCCCTATGTCCCTCCGCTTACCGTGAGCATCTTCCAACTGCCCGCTTCACGCATACTTCAGGCCCATGACCCAGTTCACTCCTTCAGTAGTTCATTTGCTTTTAACTAGGGGACCCAGTCTTATTGGACCACTGCGATCACACAGCTCTCTGAGAAGAAAGCACGAGAAAGGGAGGGGCAGAGAGCTTGCAGCGTGCTGTGCTGGCCACAGTGGGCAAGGCAAGGGCAATCGGCTACATCGGGATGTAAGAAGGAGAGAATTTCAGAGGGAGGAGACAGAGAAATATAAATTGAGGACATAGACGAAAGAAATGGAGAACTTAGGGAGGGCCCCATTGGACCGCTATGGGGAGGAAGGAGCTAATGGTCCTTTGATATCCAAAGCTGAAGATTTTTATATCATGTATCTGCAGACCTACACATGCAAGGAAAGAATGAACCACGATGATCTGGATGTAAGCTGGCTCAGACGTCCCTACAGTAAACACTCAGTTCTGAGTCCTGTGTCCATGCTGACGAAGATTGGCTTGAGACCTGAGGTCCCTGCTGAGTTAGCCAGGTCCCTATGGCTCAGGTTTACTAGGGGCAGTAGCAATTCAAGCTTCTTAGGCTCAGGATGGCATCTTCCCTCTCCTCATTATGCAAGATAGGGTCTCACTTTGTAGAACAGGCTGGCCTGGAACTCCCAGAAACCAGCCTGCCTCCACCTGCAGAGTGCTGGGATTAAAGACATGCACAGCCATGCTCTGTTTATGATCTTATGATATATACAAATGATTAAGCTCTTCTTTTGGGTTTATGCCTATTAAGATTTGTTTTGGTTTTTTGGTTTTTTTTTCTTTTGAGACACGGTCTTACTGTGTAGCACTGCTGTGGAAATCTTGACTCTCTTGCTCCATCTTTTTTTGTTCTTGTTATCATTCTTTCAAGACAGGATCTCATTATGTATCTTTGGCTGTCCTGGAACGCACTGTGTACTGTAGGCTGGCCTTGAACTTACAGAGATCTGCAGCTGCCTCCTGAGTGCTGTAATTAAAGGTGTGTTCCACTACACTGGGCTTCACCCCATCTCTCCAGTGTGGGATGCAACCATGCATAACTAATGTCTTTTATTACTGTGGCATTTGAAATTGAAAACAGAAATTTTCATAATATAAAATAATTTATATTAAATTAATAAAAATTACCATAGATTTATATGAATGGTATACCTTATTTTAAAAGCTATTTCTGTACTGGCTATTTCCCCCCCCACTTTTCTTTACTTTTTTTGTTTTGTTTTTCAACACAGGGTTTTGTTAGGAATTTTTTCCTAACGCAAGCTCTTTGCTGACGCAAATTCCCAATCAAGCCAAATCAAAACAAGCCAAATTAAGAAATATCCAGGTTTAATGGGATTCCTGCGCTCTCAGTTGGCTGTGAATGCGCAACCACCAGGAGGAAGGAAAAGAGACCACACATTCTTCTTTTGGGAGTTCATTTAAGTACCCTGTGGGTGGGGTCAGGACCTGGCGTGTTGGGATTTGGAGTCCAGACCAATACAACTCTCAGGCCTGGGGGCTAGGATAGATGAGAGGGGCTGGAGTCTCCCAACGTAACATTCCAGACTCTTTGGATATAGAAATGACAGGAAATTGAAATAATAGACTCTAGGGAAAAGGGCTTTGACTCAAGTCTGACTACTTCCTGCAGGTATAGGGTGACGTGGGGAAGGGGAGAGCTAGGTGTTGTGGGTCCATACTCAGCGAGAGGTGTGGCTGGAAAGGCATATCATGTACTGTCTTCCCAGAGATGCCAGGCATCTGTTCCTTGGGGAAGGTGAGAAGGCAGGTGTCTAGGAAGAAAATATTGTTATGACCAAAGATGAGTGTGCCAGGATGAGGAGCAGGTAGGCCCTTCATTGTGGCATCCTGGAAAACCAGAGAACGGAAGGTCCTGTCTGCTGGACAGACCAAGTGTCCTGAGTAGGTGCCCGCTTGAGCCTGGAGAGATGGTACCAGCATGGGTGTCCCAAGAGCTTGGCAGCCAAGGGGGTGGTGAGGATTACCATGTGAGGTCCTGTCCATCGAGGTTCAAGAGACCTAGGAGTTAACCATTTGAGGAGTACTCTGTCCCCTGGGTAGAGTGGGGCAGGTTTAGGAGCATTAGGGTCCACTGGTGTGGTGGCAGGGAGACAACTGTCAGTGTGTGAACAGAGAAGGGACCTTAAAAGGGAGAGGTAGGGTAAGGACCCCACCAGTGGAGGAGTTTGAAGTGGGAGGTGATGGTTAAGGAAAAAGGGCCTTCCATTGAGCAGCTCAAAAGGGCTCAGGCCCATAGGGGAACGTGGGGTGGCCCTGAGGTGAGTCAGGGCAATGGGGAGAAGGGAGGGCCAAGATAACCTGAGTTATTTGATGAGTCCATTGGCCCTCTCCACCTTTCCCGAGGATTGTGGATGGTAGGGGATGTGGAATTTCCAGGAGATGTTGAGAGCTTCTGACATAAGCTCTATGACCCTGGAAGTGAAGGCTGAGCCACCACATCTGCTCTTTCCCTGGAGACCGGAAATGCTTCTACCCATCCTGTAAAAGTGTCCACCTGGGTCACCTACAAGGCATTTCAAAAGGATTTAAAGAACTGTCTTAAATGTGTCAACATCTGTTGTAAAATAGTCTTAATTTTATTACATCATAGCTTATTTTGTGTGTACTGGATGTATGGAGGTGGATCTGTCGTGTAGCATTCTTCAAGAATGGACATCTGTATGTAAATGCCCACAGGTACTAAGTTTGACACCTTCCTGAAGACCCTTGCTGTATTTGGGAGCTGTGTGAGTGAGTGTTCCACCAAATAGAAGAAATAACATCTAATCTTGAAAAGACATACAGGAAAGTGAGTGCAGTTGGCTTGAATCCACTAATATTAAACTCAACTCGCCATTAATGTGTGGCTGCTGCATTAAGGAGATAAATTAAAGCACTAACCTTTAGTGACATTTGGCGAAGACTGAGTCCAGATGTGAACACTAGCTCTCCCTGTGTCCCCTCTCCCCCGCCTGTCTCTCTGCTGTAGGAGTCTGAATCTGTGCCTGCCTGTGAGGCTGTCTTGTGAATCTGTCCCTCTGTATCTGTCTGGATGTTTCTCTCTCCAACAAGGGGGTTCATGCCTCCCACACCCACAACTAAACAGCACAGAAATGGTCACATGGGGGAAGAAATAACGGACACTTTACAGAAATCTTTAGCAAGGTATTATTAAAAGGGATTAAGTCAGAGATTTAAACTGACTTCAAATAGTGAGATAAGAAACATCATTGTTATCAAACATCACTGCTAATCAGGCAACAAACATTTCTTCTGTGAGATTGCTTTCAGTTTCTATTTTAGTGATTCAAGCAGATGATGATCAGAACACATGGGCTCCATTCTGGTTCAGGGCCATGAAAAAGCAGATAATATAAGACCCAACTATGACATCATGTAGGTTGTAAAAGATGATTGCTGGGAAATACAAGAAAAGTAAGGTTGGTTACTTTGTCCTCTTAAAGGCGGGTTATACAGACAGTCTGAGTACATAGTGGCCCATTTTGTTATAAAATTATTGTAGAAGCTAGTTTTGTGGGTAAAATACATGCCTGCCATGTTTGGCTGTAATTAATATAACGTATCTGTTGTTTTTGTATAGCCTGTTTTATCTGTGAGGGAATCTGGCAGCTTTTAAAAGCTGCCTGTTGGAATTTGGATCATTTTTTTTTTAAAGGATTTTATTTAAAGGTTCAAGGTTTTTTATAGGAAACCGTAGATAAGGCCTCAGCCATTGTATATTGTTTTAACAACCTTTGAAAGTCATTTAGAGTCCTTAAAATATTTTTTTTAATTTTTATTTTTTGAGGCTTAATTATTTGGGGGGTATAACATATGACCTAAATATTGAAAAGGTGGGTGTAAGTCCCAAGTCCTGGTCTCTGGCCTCCATCTTTGGAGGCTCTGTCACTGTGCCAGCCAAGCCTTGACCCCCCTCCCCAGAAGAGTGTCAAAGACAAACCTGCCAAAATCTTGACCACTCCCCCAGTCTACTTAAACTGCTTCCCCCCCAAAGGTCCCCTTGTGGTCCCCCCACCTCACGGCCTCTCAGTTCTCCCTTGGGGCCACCCGGTTCCCCCTTGGGGCTACCCAAGAGTACAGGAATCCCATTAAACCTGGATATTTCTTAATTTGGCTTGTTGTGATTTGGCTTGATTGGAATTTTTGCATCGGCAGAGAGCTCGCATTAGGAAAAATTCCTAACAGTGGGTATCTCTGTATTTTTTTAGGAGCAATAATTAGCCCTATATGGCTTAGGCTTTGTTGTAATAATCTATATGTCTCTAGTAAAATCTCATCTCTATGAGTAAGTAGGATATTATTTATCCAATGGATAATATAAACCTGTAGAAATTGATCTCTAACCTTTTGTATATCCTGAACTATGAACTTTTGGTATAAGGTGGAACGGTTTGCCATGTCCTGAGGTAAGACATTTTATTGATATCTCTTTATTGGCTCTCTGAAATTAAATGAGAGGATACTAAAAGCAAATTCTTGGCAATCTTGTGGCACCAAAGGAATGGTATAAAAACAATCTTTTAAGTCTAAAATAATTTTATGGGTATCTTTTGGTATTGCTTTAGGAGAAGGGAGCCCTGGCTATAATGTTCCCATTGGCTGCATGGTTGCATTAACCTCCCTTAAATCCTGAATCAATTTTTATTGCTTGATTTTTTAATAACAAAAATTGGATAATTTTATGATGAATTAGATGGTGTAATGTGCCCATTATCCAGCTGGTTTTGCACTAACTGTTGGGAGCTTGTAATTTGTGTTAGAGGCCACTGATTTACCCATACAGGCTCATCAAGTTTTTATAGTATTGGGTCTGTATTGAGTGTAGGATTTTTAGTGACCTCTCCTAAAAATACCCTAAACTTGCCCTATGAGGTCTACTGTCTGGTGCGATAGGATCGATCTTTTTCTTATTATTTTGTCTAGACCTTGATAGGTAATAATTGTTGTTGAAACATTTGATTAGTGACAGTTGTGCTGGGGGAGTATAAATAAACCCCCATTCTGGACATAATATCTCGGCCCCATAAATTTATGGGTAGATAAGAAATAATATATGGCCAGAAAGTTTCTTTATGGCCTTTCCCATCTTTTTAATGTAGTTTATTACTACTCTGTTCAGGATTTCTAGGCTGACCAATTCTTTGTAGTTGTGTAATAGTCTCTGATTCACGCCATTTAGAAGGCCTTTGGCCGGCGGTTATAACTGAAATATTCGTGACAATTATCTAGAAGACCAGAAATTCTTTTTTATTTATAAACAAAGTGAGTTCTGGTCTTTAAGGACCAATATGCATCAGATGAACCAAATCCATCCTTTCCTCTCTTTTCTTTTTTGCTTTGATTATTGGTTTGCACAGCAGGAAGTAAAATTAATTGTACAAGCCTCTGACCTGCTTTTACTACAGAAACTCCACTTGGTGAGTGAGTCATCACCTTGACCTCTCCCTCAAAATCAGCATCAATGACTCCAGGAGCAACAATGATGCCTGGCATAGTTGCGCTACTTCTCCCTAACAATAACCCTACAGTGCCTTTTGGTAAAGGCCCACAGACCCCTGTGGGGAGAGCTGGTATCCCCACTTTAGGTGTCAGAACCATGTATACGGAAGAGCTGATGTCAAGTCCTGTGCTTCCTGGGTTTTGCTCTGAAGAGGTTTTGTATAGATTTTTTTGTGTGTGTGTGAGAAACAGATTGCTGGATTGCCCCCCCCCCCATAATATTCTTTTGGGGCCTGAGGCTGGTCCCTGAGTCCATTTTTTAAAAGGAGGTTTTTTTAGATTATCTCTTTTGTATCTGTGCTCACTAGTCTAATTTTTTTTTTCTTTTCACATAATCCTGATTTTTTTTTTTATCCTCGGGCTTACTCTCCTGTTAGGACATCGTCTGACCAGATGTCCCATAAGACCACATTCAAAACAGCCTCTAGGTATTTTTATAGTTTGCATTTTTCCTCGGTCTAGATCTCTCTGTTGGGATAAAACATTTGTGAATTGTCTTTTCTTGTAAGGCAGCTATTGTGGCCATTTTCTGCATTTATTGATTGGCCAATGTCCGAGCAAATCTGGATATAATTTGCAGTGTTACACTGCTTTTTAAAAGGTCTTATAGCCGCCTATATAAAGCATTGGCTTTTTAAAGGCTAGTTGTTTAATTATTAACTGCCCTGCTTTTGTGTCTCCAATCAACCTATCAGATGCCTGTGTTAGTCTGGAAACAAAGTCTTGACATAAGTTATTTGGTCCCTGTCTTACATCTTACACTAGATAATTCTTTGTCCCACGCTATCAACTCGTCAGCAAGAACCACGCGGGACACTAGGATTCTTCTGCAGAAATAGCTTTAATGCATCCTGAGAGAGAGAGCATCAGCTAACATGGCCAGGGACCCCTAAATGAGGGAACCCCTCCTTTATATAGGAAGCAGTCCTTGCTTCGGACGTGTCACCCTTAGATTGGTCCGCTGCCCAATTAGCCCAGGTGAAGCCTCGGGAGTAGGCGGGGACAGCAGTGGAAAGTTACCTAGCACATGTGCCTTCACCTGGCGGTGAAACCGGATGCCAGCGCCATCTTGTAATGGGGCATGTGGATGCGGCCCTTCACAATTCTTCAGTCTTTTTTTTTTTTTTTTTTCCGATGATGGAAGTTTACTTCAGGTCTTTTTATTAGCTGCTGCATTAATTTGAACATATGCTGCTATATCAATTTTTAACTGTTGATCTGTTCCTGTATAAGGTCCCTCACCTGCAAACATTTTATATGAAATAGGAATCTACTGAGCTCTGTTG